CAGTTCGAGGCTGTGGTGGCTGTGAGCGTTCCACTGCACTCCAGCCTGGGGGACAGAGCAAGACTCCTACCCCAAACAATAACAACACACACACACACACATGCACAGAGAATTGCACAGAAATTGCGTTTTAGAATCTAAATTAAGTACCTCAATATGGTGTGGTGTCTGGGTGCCCTGACATCCCTTACATATGGTCTCGTCCCGTGTTCCCATTTCTCCTCTACTGGAGACATGCTGGGCTGGTGTTGGGGTCTGGAATGAGGCCGGGGAGTGGGAGGAATAGTGGAATCTTGTTCACTCCCATGCAGGCCCTGGCAAGCCAGTGAGCCTGTCTCCCCACACGCATACTCTTGGTCTGACTCCGATGTCCCGCATTCTCCATCCAGAATGTCATGCATCTGCGTCCTCTCTTGCGCAAGAGCAACCACAGACTTGGGACCTGGAGAAGCTTCTGGCTCTCTGTGGTCACTCCTCACAGACTCATCTTCTGACACGAAGGGCCGCAGGATCCCACACTCACACTGGGGGTGGGGGTGTCCTCCAGAGTCAAAGCTTGGAGAAGGTGGATGTACCAACCATCTGCATGGTGGTGTGAGCCAGAGGAGGGCCACGCGGTGCCCGGACGCTCGTGGTTCTGGCGTCCGTCAGCAATGAGCACTGCTCTGCGCCCTGACACCCCCAGGGACATCTTAGTGACGTGAGTTGGTAGTTTTTCTTTAACCTCAGGCCATTGGAGTCAGATTTCTGATGCTTATGCCTGTAAGACTTTTGACTGAGTGCAGACGGCCAAGAGGCCTCCACGAGGAACGTCCAGTAAACGACTCTCATCTGGGTGAAAAGGTCATTTTCGGATAAGTGGGATTCAGCTGCTCCGCTCACAACCCTTACCCTCTGAACCATTTTTTTTCTTTGAGTTGGAGTCTCACTCTTGCCCAGGCTGGAGGGCCAGTTAGTTGCATGCTCTCGGCCACTGCAGCCTTGACCTGCTGGGCTCAGGCGATCCTTCCGCCTCAGCCCTCCAAGTAGCTGGAATTACCATGCCCGGCTAATTTTTTAAAAAAATTTATGGTAGAGATGAGGTCTCGCCAAGTTGCCCAGGCTGGTCTCGAATCCGTGGGCTCAGGTAATCCTCTCACCTTGGCCTTCCAAAGTGCGGGAGCCACTGTGCCCAGCCTTCCACCATTTGTTTTTTAAGAAACGAAGTCTTGCTACGTTGCCCAGGCTGGCCTTGAACTCCTGGCCTCAAGTGATCCTCCTGCCTCAGCCTCCCAAAGTGCTGGGATGACAGGCTTGAGCCACCATGCATGGCCACTGTTTGTTGTTGTTGTTCTTATTATTTTTTGAGTCGGAGTCTCATTCTGTCACCCAGGCTGGAGTGCAAGTGGCATGCTCCCGGCCACCACAGCCTTGACCTGCTGGGCTCCGGCGGTCCTTCCACCTCAGCCTTCCAAGTAGCTGGAACTACAGGCGCACACTGCCATGCCCAGCTAATTTTTGATTAGTTGTAGAGACGAGATCTCGCCAAGTTGCCTGAGTGGGTCTCGAACCTGCGGGCTCAGGCAATCCACTCGTCTCAGTCTCCCAAAGTGCTGGGATTATAGGCTGAGCCACTGAGCCCGGCCTGTTCTTATTTTTAAAAATTTGCATAAGTACTATATAAGCTTAAGCTCAAACATGTGGAAACATATACTGTGAAAACATTTTTGCTTTCCTCTATCCTCATTTACTCTGTTTACCCCCTCACTGCAAAGATGTACTGTTTAAATCAGATTTTTATGAAAATACAGGCATAACTGGGTGCTCACACCCTTAATCCCAGCACTTCGGGAGGCAGAGGCGAGAGGATTGTCTGTGCCCACAGTTTCGAGACCAGCCTGGGCAACTTGGTGAGACCCCCGTGTCTACAATAAATCAAAAAATCAGCTGGGCGTGGTGGCGCACGCTTGTAGTTCCAGCTACTTGGAAGACTGAGGTGGAAGGGTCTTCTGAGGCCAGCAGTTCGAGGCTGTGGTGGCCGGGAGCATGCCACTGTGCACTCCAGCCTGGGTGACAGAGTGAGAGTATGACTCAAAAGAAAAAAAATACAGGCATAAACACAGATTTGAATATGTTTTCTTTGTTATCCCAAGTGTAGCCTACAGAACAGTTTTGAGCTGACTTTGCTGACTTAGTGATCTACCTTGGAGATGTTTACCAACACACAGAACTGTCTCTCAACCTTTTTTTTTTTTTTTTTTTTTT